TTGGGAGCCCAACGTGGGCGGATCGCCTGAGGTCAGGAGTTCGAGACAAGCCTGACCAACATGGTGAAACCCCTTCTCTACTAAAAATACAAAAAATTAGCCAGGAGTGATGGTGGGCACCTGCAATCCCAGCTACTTGGGAGGCTGAGGCAGGAGAATTGCTTGAAACCAGGAGGTGGAGGTTGCAGTGAGCCGAAATTATCCCACTGCACTCCAGCCTGGGCCACAGAGCGAGATTACGGCTCAAAAAAAGAAACAAACAAAAACTCTAGAATCTATGTCTACCGCTACCAAATGTTTCAAATGAAGATAATGACAACTTTCTCTCTATAGCAACTCTCAGTTCTCAGGAACTTTTCCTGTTCATACCTTTCCAACAGGCTTATATTGAGTTCAGACACCCCTACATTTAACACAAATGAGGAACTATTCCAACGAAATGTTTTAATTAAAATTAATCTGTGGAATGTTACTTTTACTAATTGTTTACTCTGAAATTAATGTCTAAAACACACACACACACACACACACACTCCCCCCCGAAAAACCCCACCAACACTCTATTCTAGACAGTAGCTCAGCTTTATTTTCTTGATCTCCCAGAGATGTTCTTTTTTCCTGGAACAAGGGAACATTTTATGTGTTAAAGTAGTAGAGAAATAGTAGACGCCAGTACCATCTATAGCAAGTCAAAAGGCCTCTGATTTTTCATTTATTTGATAGTGCTGACTTTATCTGTTTTCAAGAAATGTTTTTCCTTTTGCTGGATTAAATACTAGTGACAGGTAAAAAGCAGAGTAAGCAACAACAAATAATGGGTTTCACCATGCTCTCCTCCTGGCTTGCCTATTAACTAGCTGTGTGGCCTGGAGCACATTACCTAACCTTTCTGAATCTCAATGTATTCATCTGCAAAATATGGATAATAACACACCAGTGCCACTAATGCTCCACCACCCACCACCACCAGTGGGTTAAATGAGGGAGAAGGGATAAGGCCAGGCACAAGAAGCAGGCAAAGTATGGGTTCTCTCACTGACTCTTCGAAGCATAAGCATTTGCTTCATTTTCAAAAGTATGGACACTGCTACCAATGAACTCTGGTGATTAAACAGAAACAAGTTCTAGAAGATCCATGTAGGTTGAATCAGTCCAGAGCCAACCAGGAGTGGAAGCAAAAGTTAGGCTCCCAGGCCGGGCGCAGTAGCTTATGCCTGTAATCCCAGCACTTTTTTTTTTTTTTTT